ATTCTTGTGTGACAGATTGAACTAACGATAATTGAAATTGAGGCTCGGAAGAAATTCAAGGAAAAAGTCATCAAAGGTACCAGGCTTATAATTTGATACGATAGACGCGCGTTTCGTCTTCATAAGACTCATCAGTGACGCTGAGATCAAAATAGTTAGAAAGCCAAACAAGTATAAAGTTGAAGAGCATTGAGGACCCAAAATTTCAAAAAGTTGTGCCAAATACGGCTAAGGTAATCTATGCCTTGGATAAGAAAATCCTTAGTTTTTCGAATAATTCATACTTTTGCAAACAGCAATTTTTTAAAAAATGACCATATAATTGATATTCACGTCAACACCGAAGTGCTGACTACTGGGCTGTTGATACCCTCGGGAACAAAACGTCCACCAGCAGTGGCATCGACCCAGTGGTGTAAATAGTTATCAAAGGTTCAAGGCTTATAATTTGATACGCCAGACGCGCGTTTCGTCTACATAAGACTCATCAGTGACGCTCAGATCAAAATAGTTAGAAAGCCAAACAAGTATAAAGTTGAAGAGCATTGAGGACCCAAAATTCCAAAAAGTTGATCAAAATACGGCTAAGGTAATCTATGCCTGGGATAAGAAAATCCTTAGTTTTTCGAATAATTCATACATTTGCAAACAGTAAATTTAAAAAAACGACCATATAATTAATATTCATGTCAACACCGAAGTGCTGACTACTGGGCTGGTGATACCCTCGGGGACGAAACGTCCACCAGCAGTGGCATCGACCCAGTGGTGTAAATAGAAAGTAAGACTTTTATACACATTTATTACTCAGTAATGTGTTCATAGCAAATAATCGACGACATATCGGCGGGATTAACATCATATAGTTTTAAAAAATCTTTAAGAATCGTAGGAAGTGTTAACTTATCGATTATCGGAAATACAGATGTGTCCATATTTAAGGATCTGATGTGTTTCCGAATTAGTGCTCGAGCAAGGTGCTTTAAACTTGGCGGTCTCCCAAAATCGTTCACTTTGTGATAGTTAGTTTTACTTTGACAGTAATCGTGTTCACAGTCATACATATCTGATACGGTCAGGTCATACCAAGCAGTCACAAATGTTGACACAAATGTCTTATAATCAATACAGTATTTATTCTGTCCATAGAACATATACATGCAGTGTTCTCTTTGTTGACGTGAAACATCTCTAAACTAGTACAAGTTGGGATCTACTCCATGTTGCAGTAACATAATTGCTGCAGTACAAATTAACCACGGTCCTGATATTTCAGTAAAGTGCTGTGGGAAATTTGTCTTATAAGCATTACTTATCATAAAATATATAAAGTAAGGTATAAGTTGAAATAGTCTTTTATAGAATGTTCACATTTTTATTGCATACGAATACATTTACTTGCACAATAAAACAATTGAATTATGTACTTCATGGTTCTACATGGACTTTTTAAATTGAAATATCAAGTAAGATGGTCGTACCATGAACTCTACTAACACCCTCGTCATTTGGTCTCTGGTGGATATTTATCTCAATGCCAATCATATCATCTTTGTGTCATTTGGTAATTTTTGTAGTTTGGTTGCTGTCTCGGTGACGTATATCTCACAAATACCTTTATTGATAGTTTTAATTGATGGTTATTCAGAATCGATGTTTGCTCAAATGTTATTCATTTCAACTATATTTTGATATGTAGTGCTTTAAATCTGTGTTATGATATAATGCGTTATTTTAATAATGATCCGAAAATAGAAAATGTCCTATAAACGTATAAGTAATAACCATGTACTTTCAATGGTTTTTGGACTTTATGCCAAGGTAGGAAATGTATGGAACACCAGCAAACGAAGTCCGTATATAAGATTTAACTAATTACAAGTGTTTTGATTCGAGCGCAAATAATGAGTCTTTATGTAGACGAAACGCGCGTTTTGCGTACCAAATTTATAAGCTTGGAATCTTATATATTTTCCATTTTTTTTCTTCATCTCACTTTTTTCATTCTAGTCATATATCATAAACAAAAAGTAAGGATGGAACGTCAATCAGTTGATATTTGTACATATGTTTTATGTGGCAAGTGTAACGCATAAGGTGTAATAACACCATTGATTTTTCCCTATTAGTCTTTGTTAAATTTGCTCTTTTCAAAAATGTGTGCAGAATTAATCTTTGTTTCAAATAGAGAAATACTTGGCATGAGTAAAATTTTATCATGTCCAGTACTATAGACAAAATTTCACATGACATTTCATTGCATATAAGAAAATAACCATCACTGGGAGTTAACCAATCAAATGTTCACCCCTTTTTTTACCGGTGTACAAGCTTGGTTAACCATTTAAGCTCAAGTTTCCAAAATTGTCTTTTGAAACACCAAATAAAAAAATAAATGGTGCTTTAAAACGCCCAAGATATATGTTTATGACTCAGATTTTTTTACTGCAATAAAATGTAGGATTTATATACAAAATTTCAATCCTGGTATCTATGATGAGTATATTTCCTACAACTGTCAAATTTAAAGGGAATATGTTTTCCGACTCTTTTTTGTAAGCAACCGGATGTGAAGTACTATGATGTGGTGTTATTACAACATAATTGACAAAAAAGTATTTCATTCATTGATTTTTTATTGATAAAATGGCTACTACCTTACTTTCGGGTTTTTGTGAAGAAATTTACCGATCGTGACCTTAATAAACAACCAACACAGAATCCTGAAACACGTAAAAAATATGTGTGTTTATTTTTCTTTTGATATTGTGCATGTGTTCCTATAAGTTCACTAAACTTTGTCGTATCAGTTGTTGAATAGTTTGGTGTATTAAAATTTGTCTTTTATAATAGTTTAATATTATCTTCTTTCCATGTGAGTTAACCTTTTCTTTCATCACGGCTTCCCCTTTGAGATGTCATGATTAGGGTCACTGTGAAGTACATTTTTGAAGATTTGGATAAAATAAAAGATTTTCTTTTAAAAGAAAGTCTATTTACAGGTTATGTTTATAGTATACTTAGCCAAACTAGTATATTAAACACATCTATTTGTTTAATCAAATTTGAGACATCATATATGACGTTAAGAACGAAATGCATTATTTGAATTCAAAACAACTGAACAGAATATAAGTGTTTTTAAAAAATATAATATAGTACTCAAACTGTTGTTTTGAAATTTCTTAAGTTAGGACATAGCAAACACAAACTTTATAATATATGCAAGTAAATAATGCCGAAACCGACATTTTTAGGAAGAATGTAAAAAGGAGATCATTGTTCATAGCTCGATTCAGATGATATATCCTAATTGAACTATATAAATTTAAATATTTGATTTACTATGCTGACTCGATCATTAAGTTTAAATCAGTGATTGAGTTCAGTAAGATATTTAACAATCAGGTGCTCATTTTTATCAATCCAAACGGTGAAGGCTTTAGATATGTTATTTAAATGATACTCATGCTGTGGTAAGCCACAATTTGTGTTCCAAAACGAATTTTGCGACAGTCCTTTCTTGTATGAGGTGAAGTTTCAAGGTAGATTAACCGAAGACAGATATGAGAGTCAGTAACATAAATATATTGTATGGTGATGTCCACATGTAATTCTATAAAATATACAGTAATCATAAATACGATTTCATAAATATATTGACAAGTTAATGGAGGTGAACAGCATCTATCTGACATAACTTTTCAATAAAAAACATTGGATATGAATTAAAGATATACAAGAAGACACTATATTATGATTCATAGTTTCACTATATATACTCAAATATGTACAGGAATCATGTCCACGATTGGTTGTGTGAAAAACGTCGGATCTCTATTCACGACTGTTCGTACTTCCACTATATCTTAGTTGAATTTGCAATTAATCCCACGAAAAACTTGGTTCAACACAGCTTCTTGGTCTTTGGCAGAATTACTTGTCGTCCGTTGATATTGCGACGATCTTTGGTCCAACGCTGCTGTTGCAACGATAGGATCTTAAACGTTGAAAACGGAAATGAAGTTTCAAAATTGTTTTCTTGTTAATCAGACGAGATTTAGTATTCGGTCCTCTTCTTGGTTAACAGAATGTCTGACATTTGAGAAAAACAGACGAAACTAAGCTTTAAGCCCGAACGACCCAGGATCCTACTGATTTACTTGCTCTATCTGTGAAGTGGCGATGCTTGATTTTGTCATAGTAGTGTCTGACTGGAGGCATTGCAGCTATAAGTTGACGTTCAGATAGGAACACTGTCGTCAGTATGACTGGAGTCTACATTGACGATATTGCTTCCTGCTCAAGGATCAATAAGTTTACATTGGTCGTATTTAATTAAATGTGCTCTTTAGCCATTACAATCGCATTTAGGATATGATATTTCTACAGGTACGGCCAAACTTCCAATATCTGTATTTATGAAAGAATTTAGTTTGAAGAGATTTATGGTAACGAAATCCCATACTTAATTTACCAGTTATACATAGAAAATAACAGGGAACGAAAAATCGTCTCTTTAGCAGGATAATTTTTTGTTTTATATCCTTTGTTCCAATATCGAGATAAGACTCATCAGTGCCGCTCGAATCGAAACAATTGAAGGCCACAAAAGAAAGGTAAAGTAAGTTCCCAAAGCTTCCATATAATTAGAAAATTCTATACTGAGTTAGGTCATAAACTGGATTCATACTGACAGAAACAAGTTTGCTATTAAAGGGGCACAATTGGTGCCTATAGTAATACTTGAAACCTGCCGATAAACTTTATTGCGGAAACGTAAGTTGATATTGTCAAGGAGAACATCTAAAGCTTTTATCATCTAATCATAGTTCCAGTAAATATATCTAGCACATTTACCTTTTCATAACAGGAGACGGCTTTAATTAAATCCGCAATAAGATTTTTCACAAGACCATTTGATTAAATGATGTTTGATAAGATTGAGTGGAAGTGTAATGTAGCGTGTCATTACTGTCAACCGAAGTAAAAGAACCATCAAAAGTACAAAATTTATCTAAAACAATCTACATTGCATACACATTTTTAAAAATATGTCAGGTTTGATGAGTAATGAAGAATAATGAAATGAATTGAGTATCATTTCTTACTCATAGCCAAATTTGGTAAATTATAATAATACAAAATGGTACAAATCAGATTTGGTGTGCATGGATAGTGTCAATGATTCTGGGGTCTGTCTTTATAGCAAATCATTGATGTCACATCGCAGGACTAACGTCATATAGTTTTAAAAAATCTTTAAGAATCGTAGGAAGTTTTAACTTGTCTATTACAGGAAATACAGATGTGTCCATATTAACGGATCTGATGTGTTCCCGAATTATTGTTCGAGCAAGGTGCTTTAAACCTTGCGGTCTTCCAAAATCGTTCATTATTTTAAGGTCAATGTCACTTTTACGAAAATCTTCTCCAAAGCAGTTCATATCAGATACGGTTAGATCATACCCAGCAGCCAAAAATGTTGTTATAAATGTCTGTTTATCAATACAGCTATACATATTTCGAACGAAACGATAAATAATATGATCGTAGAGTTTACATCTTTGACGTAAAACATTATCAATCTTATACAAGTTTGGATCCACACCATGTTGCAATAGCATTATTGCAGCAGTACAAAAAAACCACGGTTCATAAATTCCAGAAGGATATGATACTTTCGTATTAACTTTACCCCTCCTAAAATATATAAAAATAAAGTAAGAATTATAAAAGTATTTTAAAGAATATGTGAATCATTATAGGATATGAATTCATTTGCCCGAATAATAAAACAGTTGTAGAATGCACTTCATTTAGTTCTACATAGACATCTGAACTTTTATTGAAAAAATTCAAAAAATATAGGTCGTACACTGATCTCTATGTACGTCTTCAACCTTTGATGTCTAGTAGATAACTATCTCATTGGTATTCATACTTTATCTCCTCATTCTTATATTGTTTCATAGAATGTGATGCATCAGTGTGATGATTTGAATGTGTATGCTCGCTATGGAACGTCGAAATGTTAGGAGGCATTGTCAGTAAACATTGAGATTTTTCCTTAAAATGACTAGAAAGTGCAAACAAAATCTTTTCTTTTGAATTTTCGCGTGCCTGGAGTTAACTTCCACAGTTTCGATAGCAACATTAAAATTTTAGAAAACAATAAAATCTGGGAGATGAAAATATTTATTTTTTTTTAATATATAGATACACTGCCTTTTGCTCAGACTGTAGATATGACAAATTGAAGTATTCCAATTGTTTTTTAGCCATTATGTTGGGAAATGATCATTTATCTGTCAATATTCTACTGTAAAGCTACATTTAATTGTCTTTTTGACTGATAAAACTGATAAAATTGAAAAACGCAACTCAACCATGGCATTGAGAATTTTTTCGCCAAATTGTATTGACAAACCAGTGGCTGATCCAGAAGGATTGCGTATAGGGCTTCTTAACACTCCAAAAATAATTAATTTCATAAATTGCATATGCTTTATTACGAAAGTTAATTAAAAGTTTTGTTTCAATTTTAGTTAGTTAACAACACGGAAAGATTATTAGTAGAACACTTACTAGAAGCTCAGATGAAACGATATTTGCATTTTATTTGTGAAGTTTAGTTAGCCAATATAAGTTTCAATTCAAATCAAATGTTTAAAAGGAGCATTAAGCTTAGATGTGGCAGTGACATACTAGATTTCTATTTGACTCTCTGCGGAGTACAATGCCTTCAATTATAGAAGAATTTATATTTTCATTCTTTTAAACGTTTGTGTAGTATTAACATCATACCACCCCAAAATCTGCTTTGTAAGACTGTATGAACACAAAACGCTTTGGATGTACTTCATGTTTGTTTTTAGATGTGCGTATTACTTACCCTTTTATTAGCTCACCTAACCGAATGACAAAGTAAACTTGTCTCATCACTTGGCGTTCGTCGTCCGTCGTCATCGTTAACTTTTCCTCTAAAACTGCTGGGCCTAATTTAACCAATTTTGACCGAAATTATTTTTGGGTATCTAGTATTAAAATTTGTTTCCGATTACCCCTTCCGGTAACCAAGATGGCCGAAATGTCTAAAAATATAACATAGGGGTAAAAGGCAAGTTTTGATTTAATAGAATAATTAATATATATTGTCATAGTTTATGTAATATTGTTTATTATATTCTGAGTATGTTCCTGGTAACTCAGAAGTATTTCACAGGAATACTCCACTGGCACTTGGACAGTGAAGTATAATAATTGTAACAGGCAATCTAAAGAATAAAGAATATATTTGTTGTTAAAAAAAACAAGTTTTGTGTTTCATTTTGAAAACTGTTATAAATAGAGAAATTCTGACAGGGCAAAATTGTTCAGAATGTTGTGCTTTACCAATTGTTCATGACGTAAAAACTGTAAGGCGACTTGTTATAGGAGTTATTAACCCTAAAAGACAAATTTTACCATTATTTTTTCACTTTTGCCTTTTATCTTGAAAACTATAAGAAATGGAGTGAAATTTTAAGTTGCAAAAAAGTATCAGCAAGACAAGATCTATGAATAAATATGATGATTGAAATCGTCAGTCGACCCCTAATTACAGATTTTGACCTTTTGACCGATTTTTACCAACTTTCTGCGTTTTTGCATTATATCTTGAAAAATTATAATAGATCGATAGAAACTTAAATAAGCAAAAATGATCAGCAAGGCCAGATATTCATAAAAACCATATGGAGGAAATTTGCCGACTACTCCTTATGGTGTTATTGCCCCTGAATGACGATTTTTACATATTTTTTTTTGCATTTTCCGTGATATGATAAAAATTATAATAGATGAATAGTAACTTTAAATAACCAAAACGACCAACCATGCAAGATCCACAAACAAGTCAAATTTTGCTGATATAGTTAGTAGACTGTCACTCTTCATAGGAGTGATTGCCCTTAAATGAGGACTTTTTACCCTATTTTGTGTTTTCAGCAAAATCTAAAGAAGACAAACAGAAATTAAACAGACTAAATGATCAGTAATACAAGATCAACAAAAAAAACATTATTGTCATGAACTCTATATTTGTCTACAATGTGAGAGAGAGTACATTGTTGGTTATGCACATAGACCTAGGTGAGCGACACCTAGGTCTATTAATTTATATACATAGTAAATGTTTTTCCGTCTGCCTGTCCTTGTGTCGGACCCGATATATGAAGAGTAACTTAAGTATCCCTTTCTTTATTGGAATGGAACTAATCCATATTAAAGAGATGAGAAAGTCTATTGATTAAGGGGTGCAAAGGGTAAGGGTAAAGTTCATCGTTACTTAAAATAAATATGAAATTCGAAAAATTGTTTCATTATGGTTGCCTATCTTCAATCAAAATTATACTGATGGATGATAAAGGGAAAGGGGAAGACGCCTTTTTTATTTGGGGTCACAAGTCAATCTTATAAAAAAAAATGTTTTGAAAAATTGTTTACGGATTATAGATGGAATTTCCCTTGATTGATTGAAACAATACATAAGAATGAAAACGGGTATTTCGAAAAACCATTGAACAATACAGAAATCTTCCAAAACTCGACTCCTCGAAACAAATATAAAAACAACAATGACGAAAACTAAGTCTAGTCATAGACTGACTTGGAAAACCCTACCATTTCTTGAAATTCTGCTAATGTAATTATCTTGTTATTATTCTATTGCAATGTTGAGGACTTACAAATGTTTTATCCACTTTCCGAAAATTCTCCCAATGAATGATGACATGTATATGGTACAGCGCGAGGCCACTGATATATATACTGATAAGCAACTACTGATTTTACTTTAATGAGTAGAAAGGAATGAAAATATACAAGCTATTAATTCAGGAAATGTAAAACCTTAGTTCTTACATATATTAGGGAAATAAGAACATTTTCGATGACAAATTGCTTCCAAATCAACTCAAAGGGCTAAACATAAAATAAACATACATGCATCAATAGTTTTACTTTCGAATGTAGTGCATTATCCACAAACTTGTTTTGCCTTTTACTAACTGGATTAAGCCTTGACCAAATCATTTGAAAAATTTGGAAATGATACTAAGGAACACTGACTGATTCATTTTAAATTTGAACTACTTCGCCGGTATGTTTTCAGAGAAATGCACTTGATAAGGCTTGAAATAGCCAAAATTCTATTTTTCAGGCAATATGAAGTGCAAATAATAAATGTCATCATCCAATATAGTCCTAAAGTTCTGTGTACTTATTCAATCGTCATGTTATAAAAAATACAATTAAACTATTGTTTTAATTTCTTCAAAGATAAATAGTTGGTGTTGGTTGGAGGCTATGTAAGCTGGTTTTCCGTAGAATTGACATATGAATGATGTGCTAAAAAGGCAGGACTAACTTGAAAGAAATTATATACATGTAATACAGTAACTGTAAACGTTGAAATTGATTTTATAGCACAAGAAAATAAAACTAAGATGGTTCAGATGACTGAACTGCGTTGGGTATTATGTATTGATTTGTAAAAAAAAAAACAACAAAAAAAAACATGATGACAATGGGTGAATATATTTTCTGATTAAGTAAGAACTTTTAGTTGAATTAAACCCAAACTTTAAATAAATATATATTAGGTTTAGATCCTAATACAGTGTTGTTACTTTAAAGTAGATACACAATTTAATATGGCTAATACCCACAGACAAGTTTTACATTGAAATCCTAAAGAATGTTTCATTTGTTTTTCTTGCACATACATAACAGTACTTAAATCCAGATATAGTGAAAGCAGAGTATTGTATATTGTCAGTATGCACATCTGTGATTGAAGTGAAAATCAATGCAGCAATCAGGTCACCAAAACTTATATTTTATGTATGAATGACTCTTTTTAAGAATTATGTAACGTTTCTAATCAAGGCAATTACAAGACTTTAAGACTGATATATTGTCAATTCACACATCTCTGATAGAAATGAAGGTCAGTGCTAAATTGTGTGCCCAATTTGCATTTATTTTATTTAAAAGAATGACTTAAAATTATGGTCCTAATCGTTTCAAATTTTGTTTATTCTATCTAAATTAATCTTAGACTTTAAAAAATATTGTTAATGTAATGCTTTCATATATGACAGGATTGATGGTTATCCCTTACCAAGACTTATGCCCAAAAATTAAAATTTTGTAATTCTCATAATACCCCCCCCAAACGAGTTGAGATATATAAACACCGTAAGATAGTGTCAGAGAAACATCCCCTTTTCTTAAAAAAAAAGAAAAAATAACAATAGGGAAAGAAACATTATCCTTTTTGTTGTAACTTTTGTGTATAGCTTCTGTTGTAAAACTTTAATGGCCAAATCTAGGAAAAGACACTTATTGATGTTAATATGTGATTTATTTAAGGTAAGTTTCGGCAGTATATTTAGAGATTTCTTCGTTATTTTACGAAAAAATATCATCAAGATAACAGTAAGTGTTGTTGAATTTTTCAATCAAATGGAATTTAGACGGGCCTTTACTAAGTTTTGCCATCAACTGTGATTCATAACAGTACAGGAACAAGTCTTAAAGAGGCACAGTTGGTATCCATAGGAATACATACAACCTGACGATCAACATTATTGCCAAAACGTACACAAATGTTGTCAAGGAGAAAAAATTAGGGCTTTAATCATCTCATCACACCCTCAGTAAGCATATCTAGCATATTTACTTTTCTCAATTGAGAAAAAGGCTTTATATGAGTTACAACAAATAAATTTGCAATCAGATTTGATAAACGACCATTTAATTTAATAGGAACACTTTTGTTTGGTAAGATTGTGTTTAAGTGAAGTGTAGCGTAAAGAGGGGAAAAGGCAAAATTGTCAACCGAATCAAAAGGACCACCAAAAGCACGTTATTTGTCTAAAACATCCTAAGAATGTTTTACACTCCAAAAATAGTTAATTCTACTATTTTCATATGTTTAATTACAAAAATTAATGATCAGTTGTTTGATTATGACATTTTTCATCGATTTAATGATAACAATGCAATGTTACAATATACGTTGTGCAGATCTAGATAAATTATATGCTATATGAAAACACGCAAAAACTAAGATTATAAGCAAAATATATGCCACGTTACTTATGTGCAATTATGTTCCGATGGTGTATATTCATTCCTACTTTCCTTTAAAAATAATCACGAACGTCATGTACTGATATCAGGTTATTTTTTTCAATTTAAAAAATTCGTGGAAATGAACCCAAAACTGGTAATAATTTATGCATCTAGTTTTAGGTACACAATAATATGTCGCAGACAATGAAGTCATAGACGACTGGATTAGTTATTCTTCAACCTAAAGGTTAACGCGTAAACAAGTAAACTTACCTGTTAATCCTGTTCAAATGGTTGTATTCATCAAAGCGAAATGTGTTTGTAAAATGCAGTAGAACGTGAGTTGTACAAACTGGAACTTGCTTTTCCTTTCCTTCTTCCACAGAAAGGTTCATTTAACAATACATTTGAAGATGAATTAAGGAATTATGGTGCTGAGGGTAAAAAGAGGCGAACGATACCACAGGGACATTTAAACTCGAAAAATTAACTGACAACGACTTGGCAAAAAAAAGAAGACCAAAAGTAAATAAAACACAATATAGAAAACTAGTCTAAGCAACACGAAAGTAAAAAAAAAAAAAAAAAAAAAAAAAAAAAACCGGAGATGATCTCAAATCTTATAAATCTATAATAGTTTCTGTTAAATGTATTCACATTGTTTGAGACTCTGAAAGATTAAGAGCTTGACTTGGAAAAACTCACATGATTCACAACTATATGTAATATGTAATACAGCAAAATCTGTGTTATGATATCATGCAGTACTTTTATTTAGGAGCCGGAAATAGATATTGTCGTATACACCTATACGTAGTAACCATGTACTTTTAATGGATTTTTGACTTGTCAACGTAGGAATTATATGAACTACAAAAAAGTCCAGGTATACAATTAAACTCACTAAAAATGTTTTTACTCGAACGCCATTGAAGGGTCTTTTGTCTAGCAACCAATCTTTGATTTTACTTGTAATTACAAATTATAATTTTATTCTGCAACGATAGACATGGGATTTTTTAATTTATACTTTAATATTCGTAAATGCTTTCATTTAAGTCTGGTAAGATTGAAAACTCGGAAGATGTACGTAGCTATTTAAACAAAGTATATTGTAAAAATGAAACATAACTTACCCTAAAAAGAGACATGGTCCCCAGGATGTAGTGTTAAGTTTAACGCCAGCATTTAAATACTGTTCAAGTACTTTTAAAAACATTTCAGGACCAAAAAAGCATGAAGAATATTGAAAATGCCGTGGAATTGGGCCAATAATTCCATGTCTGCCACACTGTCGGAATCCTTGGAATCTGGTAATGTCCACTCCTAAAATATAATATACTACATGTACTTTAGATGAATAACTTTTGTGGACATACAAATGTCGATCATGTCATGTTAAAATTACTTTTAACAAAGTTGGAACAGATATATCAAATTAATTGATATAGAACTATACCCGTTTTATTGTGGTTGTATATAGAGATAATTATGCAAAGAAATGTTGACGGTTAGATATGTTATAAAGGTAGATACCATTAACATTGTTTACATGAGTTTAGTTTTGTTTCTTGGTTTGGATATTCCATGGTTGAATTTATAATTTTTCATAAAAGGTCAAAAAGCAAGCGAAATCTTTAAAAAAGGCACCTTCTTTTTCAAGTCCATATACTTATTGAGTTTGATAATAAATCTTCTTTTTTTTCTTTTGTAACCTGTTTTTTTTTCCAGGATGAATGCAGTAAATACACATTAAAATATCAAATAACACCTGTATCTTCATTCAAGGAAACATTTTAGCTATAATTTGACGGTTTTTCACGCATGTTTGTCTCTACTTATTCTGTATGACTGCGATTCGGTATGCTGATATTAGCAATTATTTTTCAACGGGCAATTGGGTATAGGATTTTTATATTGTATTCATCATTATTTGCACTGAATATTCAGTTTCTTATGCTATTAATGTTGTTTTGCATGATGGGTGATGCATGCATAGGAGAAAACGCTTACTTTTTCGACACACCCGGTCCAGCTCATTTTGGAATTCTTACGATTTCCGCAGTTTATATTTGCCTTTTGCCAGAATTATTATATTATTATATATCTAACACTACTTTCTTTGTTTTACCTATTTTTGAGTTGATATTTCAACACTGATACAATATATTTATTTCAAAACCACAAGGTAATTAACTCAACGCAATCTTAGGTAAATCTTTAAAATTACACGGAAGGTTCAGAGGACACTTAAAATAAATGCAACATATGTATATGCTTGCTAAATAACCAGGGTGTTTTTTTTTTTTTTATCTATTTAAAAAATAAAATGAAGAAGTTAAAAGAAAACGATTGGTTTTATTTCTTGATAACTGTTGATATTAGTCTACATTTTACGTCAGTGCCCGTATTGGACGAAACACCTTATCTAAAATGTGCTGACTTTGGTGCCTATGATGTACCCTTGTGAAGATATTTGTTATATTTATCAATTTAGCTTCTGAAATAGATCCATTTAAGAAAAAAAATTGGCCTTTTGACACTATAAAATAAAATGCTTCGCTGAGCGCAGCCTGATACGACCGCAGAGGTCAACCCTGAACAGTTGGGGCAAGTTTCGACACAATATTCAAGCTTGATACTGTCTGAATTTGAATTGTGATCAAATTTTTGACATAATATAGGTTTCTGACACAAAATAAATGTGGTAAAAGATCTTACAAATTTGAAATGGGACATTTAATTTACCTAGAATGGTCTGATATCCAAAATCGAACAACATGGTTAGATTCAGAATATAAAAAACAGCAATAATTTAATTTTAGTTGAAATCAAACAAAGTTTAATTTTGGACCCTTCAAACCTTAATATGAACTAATTTGAAAACAGGGCCCAAAATAAAAATCTAAATGCACAATAAGATTCAGCGAATCATACAGCCGCAATAATTCAGTTTTTGATTTTGGACCCTTTTGACCTCAATGTAGACCAATTTAAAAATGGGGCCAAGTATCCAAAAAAATTATACAAGGTAAGAACCCCCAAAAATTAAAGACTTAATTAATCCCATCGAAATTGGTTAAAACATTTGTATTTGTTTTCAATTGAAGATTTCTTGCTATTGCGCAATACTGTGCAATTGAAGATTTCTTGCTATTGTGCAATACTGTGCAATTGGAGATTTCTTGCTATTGCGCAATACTGTGCAATTGAAGACTTTTTGCTATTGCGCAATACAGTGCAATTAAAGATTTCTTGCTACTGCGCAAAACTGTGCAGTTGAAGATTTCTTGCTATTGTGCAAAACTGTGCTATTGCACAATACTGTGCAATTGAAGATTTCTTGCTTTTGCCCAATACTGTGCTATTGTACAATACTGTGCTATTGCGCAATAATGTGCAATTGAAGACTTCTTGCTATTGCGCAATACTGTGCTATTGTGCAATACTGTGCTATTGCGCAATACTGTGCAATTGAAGATTTCTTGCTTTTGCCCAATACTGTGCTATTGTACAATACTGTGCTATTGCGCAATACTGTGCAATTGACGATTTCTTTCTATTGCGCAATACTGTGCAATTGAAGATTTAAAAAATTTGAAAATTCAAAATTTTATAAGAAAAAAAATGAACCCCAAAAAAAATTGGAAAAAAAAATCCCACCATTTTTTTAAACCCCCAGCCCCTTTAAGAGTAATTACCCCCAGACTCAATCCCAGCCTTCCCTTTATGGTATGGAACCTTGTGGTACAATTTTAGAGAGATCCATACACTTAAACACAAGTTATTGTCTGGAAACTAGAAAAATGCTTGTTTTTGGTCCCTTTTTGGTCCCTAATTCCTGAACGTTTGGGGCAATTAACCCCAATTCCAGCCTTCCTTTTGTGAAATGGAACCTTGTGTTACAATTTCAGAGAGATCCATACACTTACACACAAATTATTGTCCGGAAACTATAAAAATGCTTGTTTTTGGCCCCTTTTTGGTCTCTAATTCCTAAACTGTTCGTACCATCACCCCAAAATCAATCCCAACCTTCCTTTTGTGGTATTGAACCTTCTGGGTAAAAAAATCATAGAGATCCATTCACTTAAACTAAAGTTATTATCCGGAAACCAAATGTGTCTTCGGACGACGACGACGACGACGACGCCGACGAGACGACGCAGACGACGCCGACGACGACATCAAAGCATTATACGACGCAAAAAACTTTTTGCGGTCGTATAAACATTAAAATGCATGGCCATGTCTCGGAAAAAGTTAATGAAGCACAAGTAACAAATGATTAAAAATCGGCTGTTAGGTGGATTTGCAGTTTGAATTACACATTATATATACGACCACTCTTTTTAAAAAAAGTCATTTACATTTAATCCTAGTTTTGAAAAAGCTGATTTTATTATAACGTTCTATCTACACAGACCCAAAACTTTCGTTTTATCACGCAATGCATCTATGAGAAGTTTCACAATTTCAACGTCATAGCTATAGTTGGCTGCAGCACAATATATAGGTCCACAGTAATAGTAATTTCTAAGGCGATCTACACTGGCAACCAAATCAACATCTGCACCTTTCTGTATTAATTTTTCAACGAGTTTGACATCTTGTTTCCTGCAAATTCAGTTTAATCACATCAAAATTAAAGTTACAATCGCTACAGATTCAACAAATCATTTTTATAATTCAGGTAATTCATCATTCCCTTTTTATCATACATTTCCTGATGAACGATCTTTTACAGGTTTTTTTTACCATTAAGGGACTTGCAATTGATATTAATATATCCAATTTCAATTCACCGATAAAACACTTATCCAAAGTTAGGCTAAAGAATTATTCGACTCAAACAGCCAAACTATTCCGTTTTCATTAATCATTTAATTAATACGTTTGAGAACAAATATTGTCAAACGTTTTGAGTTTTGTTTTAGCTTTCACAATTCACATTCAGGTTTCGTTATTGTTTTTTTTACCCTTTTTTGACCATTTGACATATTATCGTTTTTGCATTTCCTGGCGTTAACACTTATCACTACATACGGGTTCGAAACCATACGACTGGTGAAGCATACATAGGAGTGAAATCAAACTATAGCAGCACCTACATGTACACGCAGTTTGAAATTCATAGGAACCTAACTGTTTTTATTCCAACACAAGCAAATCAAATTTGAATAAATCCAATTATTGGCCAAAAAAAATTGAACCACAGAAGAAACTCAGTTAAAAAGGATAGAAACATAAAACATAAAGTAATAACAGACAACATTTATATGTGTGTACCTAGACTTACTTAAATCTACTATAATAATTTTAAATGTTAAGTCGATGTTTAATTAAACAAAATATGACGGATTCCACTAGTGGAGCATAAGTGTTACCCTTCCGGAGGAAAATAGTTCATACTGGTTTTGGAAGGGTTCTTTTTTATCAATGTTAAGTAATGTGAGGTGTTTCTTTCGACAGCTGTGTGTCCTTCGGTAGTTTTTCAAGACCACGGTGGTATCTGTTTATTATTCGACTCGTGACTATTGACTGTCCCTTGAGTTGTATTGTCGTCGTCGTTTATATATAAAGAAGTAAAATACCAAAAATACCGAACGCCGAGAAAATTCAAAACGGAAAGTCCATAATCAAATGACAAAATCAAGAGCTCAAACACATCAAACGAATGGATAACAACTGTCATATTCCTGACTTGGTACAGTCATTTTCTTATGTAGACAATGGTGGTTTAAACCTGGTTTTATAGCTAGCTAAACCTCTCACTTGTATGACAGTCGCATAAAATTCCATTATATTGACAACGATATGTGAACAAAACAAACAGACATAATAAGTAAAAATGTAAAAAATAGGGGTACAGCAGTCAACATTGTATTATAATCTTAATCACTATAAAACAAACAAATATGTAACAAAGAAACACAAAAAGTCATATAGACAAAGCACATTAGCAAAATATATACTGTAACCAACTTATGTTTGCGGATACCTTTTTTTCCCCGGTAAGCTCTTTCTAACCGACTTCGTGACCATTTAGTTTTTTGCGATTATCTTATTTGTTATGTATTTATATAATAGACGATCCATGCTTAACATCTTCGAAATATTTATCTTCGCAATATTTTTCTATTCGCGAAAATTAGTTTGTTTACAGTATCAACTTATTACTTACAAACAAGCTATTGTTAAAGCTGTTAGTTCTGTGTCAGCTACTCTACCAGAACGTTTCGTTTCTCTCAGATCATGCATAACAATTATCTGATCGACATTATCACTGTCTGCTGTAAGCAGAATTATATGTATCAATAACTTATGTATTTTTATTATACCAGCATAAATTATTTTTAACGGAAAAACGGAAAAAAAACATAAACACAAAAAAAAAATAAGCACATTAGAATGTAACATTTTCTTCCGTTGGTCCTACTTAAATTCATCATGACCTTAAAACTCATATATAACATATTACAAACTTGCTGAAAGAAAACATTAATATCAGTACAATATTACCATTGAATGTTCTCAAGGATTGTTTGTACCTTTTTAATTCTTTCCCCAATATCTGTTTGCAGATTTTGTGAGGAATTGACAAGAACCAAATCAATTAACTTGCTTCAAGTTTGACTTTTTATTTTCTGTTTTAGATCTAGAGTGCTTTTTTACTTGGTGAATATGATTCCTTATAGCTAAAAGCTCTTCCCTTGTATACAATATGTTTGTATACTATACAACTTTCTGACAAAACAAAATGTAAAGGAGTCATTTTAGAAAATGAAAAAAAGGTTTATTCATTGACTTTTAGTTGAAGAGTAAGAATCTCCATTTTTTTTTTATAATCTCGGTACTTCGAATTTCTCAACATATCCAAATACTATTTTCAAGGACAAATTATAACTTCAACAAAACACTATACTATTCTAAATGCGAATTAAAGTGTTTGGGTGATTGGTATGGTAGAAATTACGCATTTGCAAACAGAAATATATGACGTCATGTCAAATTTGAATGAAAACAACTATCAGGAAATTTTATAAGGAATCTCAAGAATGTTATGACATAACTTTTCATAAACAGTCCGTTCATAAATATAGAAATGATTAAGAAACTAAGGGTCAAACACAAGTTTTTATGCCTCTTTAAGTCATATTCCTCATCATGTGTTTCGGAAATTATACACCCTTGGCTTATTATATATAGAGGATTTCTTTTTAAAAAATGATCAACTCATCCCGCTTTGTCCAGAACATAGGTGGTTCAAGATTCTGGTCAGTTTTCAAAGTCTGGACAGAAAATCCTTGCAAGTTTGTAGGAATGATATTTGGAAAACTATCTATAAAAATCCTGACATTGAAAAAGCCATAGAATGAATTAAAGGATATTACCAATTTTGAAAATTTGCTTGTCATACATTCACTGCATATATTTACGACACATCTCAAATTTACTATTAACGGGTCAAGGGGTGTTAACTCATGACCAGTGGTCGAAATACAGTTTTTTCATACTAGAATTACGTAAGTAAAGCAAAACATATCTAAGGTAAAATAAGTGCCTAGCTGAATCATATTTATTATAAGACATAAGGTGAGGTATGATTGCAAAGACAAATCTCGGGTTGTTTTTTATGAATGTTTACACCGGTTGACCCGAGGTCAATCGGCGTAAATGACGTCATTGGACAATCGGTTTTTACTGTGAATGACGGTATAACATAAGCATTGCAACATAGGAAATGTAAGAGAAAATGCACGAATTTGAAGGCGTCTTCATAAGACAACCATCCAACAGAGTACAAATGAAGCGGAATTAAGCAAAACCCATACCGTATAGTCAGCTATAAAGGATCCGTCATTACAAATTGGGAATTATTTTCAAACGAAAAAAAAATACACAATCTCACAAATTACTTAACGAAAAACAAAGATGAACCACAGCTAATTATTCAAAGTCCACAAACAGCAGATAAAGGACACGTTAATTAGGAATCCTCCATGTTCTGAACAATTTGAAAAATGAGCAAAGGGAAAATTTAAAATATATCCTTTCATTAAGATGAGGACTGAAGAAAAAATTCAACTGTACACAATTAGAAAGCAAGTCCTTGGAAACGTCCGTTGTCGTCAAGCTCTATCAGCAACAATAGCAGGGGGAATTAATTAGGTGACGTTTAAAAGTCCGCGAAATTAATCGGATAAAAAATCAACGTTTAAACTATTTTTTTCAACTTGTCATGCTTTTATTATAATTGATTTTTAAAGTTTGTAGGTTTTGTGAGCAATATAGTTTCAATACGACATTGAAACATTGTCCAAAATAACTTTTACTTGCTATTTCTTTATCCTGACCGTTCTAAAAATTATCAGCGATCTTTTTTGTTCGCCAAAACATCGAATTTAGATAACTTGACGTTTGCGTATCCAAAGACGGAAAAGAACGGTAAAAATCTTAAATGAAACCGGGTAACCTATTTCAAATTTCTACACAATTATGAAGCCATAATTTTTTACTCTAATACAACAATTTTAGTGAGGACCAGTCATGTCAATTTGTAGCTGGTTTTGGCTGCGTTTCTAGTTTAAAACAGTGAATGTTCAACTTCTTTTCATTGTACCTGTTATCAAAGTACTATAAAATACTGATTTTTTTAGAGATATGAATGAAATTGTGATTAAAAATTGTTGTTTTTCACAATTCCATACGATACTTCCATTTCAAAGTAACTAAAACCCTTCTTGATCCCCTACACAAATTGACGGTGACATTGTTATCTTTTTTCAACATACGTCAAATAACGTTAACAAAATATGTATCAGGGTCATGTGAATAGTGAAAATTTACACATTGGAAAAGTGAAACAAAGATCATCTTTATTGTTTGAAACTGTACGTCTTAGAAAATTTCATTCATACTGGAAACAAATCTGACAAATTAATGATAGCCGATGGATGGACAAAAACACAAAAAATAGCAATAGAAAATGTCTTGTAATGAAAATTTCTGGAGGAAAACACCTATGGCTATGAAAAAGGAAATGAAGGTCAGTTAATTATACTTATAAGTTAAAAACCTTGCTTATTTGATTATCTCTTTACTAAATAAGCTACAGTAATAAGTGCAAAAAACTAGCTTATCAAGTCAAACAAGAAATTTAATTCATAGAGATGTTTTCTTACAAAATTGAATTTATTCAAATGGCAAATTCTTGTCAAATTTAACAATCCATTGCTTATTAAGTAAATGGCACAATATTTGTCCCACCAACTTTCATTTGTGATATAAATATCCAATTATTAAGGTAAAATATACAATACTTTGTTCATAAATATGTATACCAGCTGATACAGCAACCTGAAGAGAAGAAGCCCCATTTTGTTTTTTTCATAATCTATAAAATACCCTGAGAAATTTGGCAAGGGCTACTAGCTGTTCGAGCTAATATGATAATTGAATTTTACAATAATAATGATTTTAAAATTCAAACTAATGTCACTTATAATTTTAAGTTTTAATTTTTACAGAATTTCTGTCAATATTTTTGGTAAACTTATCCTTTTCTGTAGGATATTTTCTAGGCAGTACTGTACTGTTCAACTAAGAAACATAGGCTTGAGTTAAAAGGCTTTTTTACTTTGAAGAAACTGTTGTGACTTTTGGTCCCACTTTTTAGAATATAAAATATTAAAAATTATAATGTCATAGTTGTAAATCGAATTTCAATTATTTTTTTTTAATTTTTATTCATTTTGCTGGGTTTTTATTTTTGACCGGTGATATCAAGGGGAGATAACCACTTGCACAAATCGGCAAAAAAACCAACGCTTCGTGTTGAAAATAACTTGACGTTTGCGTATCCAAAACTCTATTGCCTAGATATTCATATCGAGTGTTTGTCCTAATGAAATGTTTTATAAAATTTAAATTCAGCCGATCATTTTTAGTTTCCTCGAAAATATTTAGATTTTTCGATCAGGAGACTTGACAATTTTCACACAAACTACAAGGTTGAAGATAAAATAAAAAATAAAGGACTTTGATTTGATGTTTAAGTTTTGACGAGTTAAAACAATGTATATTCAAGATTATTTTGATCAATAAGTTTTTATCATGACAGTGGTATTTTAGTAAGTAAAAATGAGGTTTGTCTCATCCGTAGTTTTACTGAATTTTCACGGTTACGTGACTCTATTGTTGCTGATAGATTTGGGGTCAAACCGTGACCTGCTTTCCAACTGTACAATCCATCCTTGAATAGGAAGTGAACTTCGGTCCGTAAATGTTATTCCGTATTTTATATGACGACGACCGTGAGACGTTGCAATGAAGTAACGTCACAAGTCGTTACTATTAAGGACGTCAATTATGTCTGATGAACAGAAGGAGATGCGATGAAAGCGTTAACAGAAACAATATTCGATTACCAATGTGACGTTTTGTGTTTTTTATTCTAAATTATATATTATTTGCATGATCAAAGGAATGCAGAATCACCCCTGTCGAGTTTATTTGTTATTCAACAAAATTGGATACAACAATTTGGCTTTATTGACATACATGTAAGAAATTTTTCAGACTGAAATATGATTTGCGTAGTTTATATGCGTCATTGTTGTAGACTTGAAGCTGTCCCTTTGTTTATTGCTCTGGTAGCTTGCTTTGACATAGACGTTTCAACCACGTCAATTTATATTAATAATTCCATACTTAAATCATCCTATCTTGTAGTTTTGTCAGTGGCAAAGGAACAAATAAAGAAAGATGTTGAAAAAAGTATCAAGCGTTTAAACCTCCGGATATGAAAAGTATGAAGTATCGTTGTGTGTTTTACAAGGCTCCATAATGTCTATTCTAATGAACGCATTTAATTTAGAAAAGATAGGACACATGTCCATGGAAAAACCGATGACGTGGTCAATAGAACCGTGACCTTTCTTGTGATAAAGTTGACAAAATTAATAGTTTGTTACGCCGGAAACCATACTGATAAAAAGTTATTTCTAAACCACAATCGTATATTTTTAAAAGAAACTATCTGTTAAAATATGTTATTGAAATATACATGCAAATACATAATGTTTCAGTTTTATTTTTTATCGAGACATTTGTAGTAGGAACCTATTTCACTGAAATTTAAAAAGAAATATGCTAATCTTAACAGCATATTTATAAAATAATAAGAATAATAATTATGTACAGACAAAATCTAAAGCACTTCTCAGTTACCAATTATCGGAGTGTTCCATTAAGTCCTAAGCATATTACAATTTCCCAAAATATA